CCCAGGAGTACTGCACTCGACGCCGTTAAATGTGAAATACCACCGAGTACAACAGTGATGACATCCAGAGATTCTGATATTTCCAGAGTAGTATACACGAAGGGCTGTGTCATGGGCTTGTTTCTGGAACTCACAGGCCTGTTAAGAGAGCCATTGATCAAACATCAAGCCTGCATAAATGTTGCAAATGAAGGTTGTCAGTAGTACAATACCTTCATGCACCAATGCCAAAAGTTAAATTCAATCAAAAAATTTCTCATTTCCTTTTCAAAGTTATAATGAAAAACCAAATAGTGCAAAACTCGCTCCGTTGGCTCTATTCGTTAATCCCTCGACAGAGTTTCCAATGCTTGTGTTACCAAAAATTTTTACTCCTGTACCTTCCTTTCAAATGAAAAATTATGCAACTCGAGAATAACAATAAAAAAATACCAGTTCATCACTCTTCAATTATCCCTGGGGCACTGATATGGAAAGGAAAGGTAAGAGCCAATCAGGATAGAAGCAAAATCAAACATTTCTTTGCGGCCAGTCTTATCTCTTAGAGACTACACCGGAAATTACTGATCGTCCAGTGTTGTAGTTTTGCAGAACATGTTTCGGCGATATTCAATGATGTGGTTACTGGCTTGGCTAGTAGCGCTCTATCATCGTCCTAGTAAGCCTGTATGTAAATATAAGTAGTCCGAGACTTTTCGGGAGGTTTCAATAACAAAAACACTTCGGGATTTATTTGAGTTCTTTCAATCGATTATCACATTATACGCGGGAATTTTAGTCTAAAAATAGAACTTCTTATAGTTAATGGTTGTATTAGAAGAAACTGAGTCCATTTTCCCGACACGCTTGAGTCGACTACGTCTTTTATTCCGTATTAGCTAACAAAAACAACCTAAAGTTTGGTGACTAGCCCAGATCTATTGAGAAATGTTGGTCACTAGCTTGTATAGGTGACAGTAACGAGGCTATCAATCTTTGGCTATCGTCGTCATGTCAACCTAACCAACGAATAGGATATTTACTCTTTACGAAATGGCTTTTTACCTAAGTTGTCATACCTTCCCGGTAAAGATGTGGTACCTTGGGTACTGAACAGAAACAAGATTCAAACTTGACATAAAAATTACAGAGAACCCACTGACGTTATTAAAGAGTTCTATGAAAAAAGTTGCCGTTGAAGACTGTCAAGTAACCATAAAATAATGAGAGAGATTGAGGAAAAAAGGGCGTGTTCAAGGTACGGCCCCCTAAAGGGCTACGTGATCGTTGAACAAGTTTCATGATTATATATTCAATGCAGACGATGAAAGCTAGAAGTTGTTTACACAAGTAGTTACCTTGAAAGAAAGAGGTTTTAAACGAGCTGTATTAAAACAGGTGATCAACCATCTTCTCTGTTTTAGCTGAATGATCTACGATATACATTTTTGCATTCATTTTCCCAACTAAACAGCTAGAATTACATATTCAGAGAATTCTTGGTGGATGTCAATTTTATCTTTTAATATTTAGAAACCGGCGTTGGATTAAAGGCCACCTTTTAAGTAAACAAAGAAATTCGAGTTGAGCACAAACTCAGCACTATGACCATTATGAATCAGTTTGATTTTTGACGATCTGATGTGGAACACGAGCCGTGAGAACAGTTAAAGATCATTTAATGATTGATTTAATTAATTTATCTTACTTAAACAGTGGCAGCTGAATTCATTACTAATCGAAACGCTTGGGCAGAAGAAAACAATCCCGTGTTTTGCCAAAAAATAAATTATTCGCTGTCACATTTCATACGTTGTATATATTTCACTCAGTGTACAAAAAGTTACGATCACAAAAACAGGGTCTTTCCGTGACTTGTTGGAAGCTCTCGAGCAAAGTCGCCAAGTGAGACCCAAAATGCCTCGAGCTCTCCTGGAATTCTCTCAGTCGACTTTTACCTTAACGACTCAACCTTTTTGGAAAAATAATTGATACAACGAGTATCATTTATTTGCGAAAAAGATAACAGAGCGATGAAGCATACAAAAATGCACAAAGGTTTCCTATTCACTTTAGCTGCATGCAGTGTTTTAAGTACCTATTTCTTTTTCTGCTTCAATGGTGTGTCAAGGCCCGTTTACTAACATACGATAATGTGTATTAACTGACCCATATGATTCCTTGATCTTTTGGATCTTCTTTCCTCCATGTACACTCTTTCCAATAGTAACCATAGCCCAGAACTTGCACAATACTCAGAGCCAAGAAATACAGCAGCAGCATTCCTTTAGCAACCATTGCTTCACTGAACTTCTACCTCCAAGTATCAACTGAGATTTCAAATCGAATTGAGAGTTTTGATCAGCGATCAAAGAATGAATGGTATACCAAGAGTTCCTCCGGTCTTAAGTAGTATAGTAATTAGCATTTTCACCAAAAAATAGCTCCGATCCATCAATCATTTTCATCAATCACCAATCATCATCAAACATTTTTCATTTTGCGGTAAACACAGACAATC